CTTCATACTTATCTGTTTTACCTAAACTCTTTCGGATTGCATTAGACACCGTTAAGCACCTCATATTCGTATAGGCTATGTTCTTCTGAGATGCTGTCATATCGTCTGTCGTGTTAAAATACTTATGAACAAACTCGGATAAAGATAACTTATGAAGCCACATATCATCATACATCATATCTAATATTTTTCTGTTGGCTTCTGCTGTTGGGTCCCCTTGTTGTCCTAATCTCTTACATATGGTAAGCACAACGTTATACTTGAAGATCTGATCAATACATTCATCTGCGTATTCGTCCGGCTTCCTTGTATTAGTTAGATCTTCAATGGGCGGAAGCTGTTTGACATCACCCGCTCCGATTATGATTTTATTCGGGTTTCGTTTAACAAACTCTCTGATTCTATTTAATATGTGGGTTCCATTCATATAGATCTCATCAAAGACAATACAATTATAACTGCTATGGTCAAACTCGGGGAGCTTCTCCCCGTCGCCAACGGGTATGGCAAAAAACTTATTAGTAGTCACTGCATCGTCATTTATATTCTGCGATAAGCTATTCTGTGGCACTACGAAGAGAGTTTTATAGCCCAACTTGCTGAAATGCTTTGCTATATGCGACTTGCCACCACCTGCATACTTAGATCGGATCATCATAGGATTATTTGTTACGATATCTTTTGCTATGCTTTCCGTGTCCCACTCGTTTTTTATGGGTCGGGTCTCATTGCTAACTACGGGAATTGGTATCAGTTCGTTCTTTTTTGGTGCCCACTGCTCTGTGGGTCCCGCTATGTTTTTACTCTTTTCGTGTCTCCACCCGCCGATACGATCTGAGAACTCTATTAGGTTCTTAGCACGTCTTAAATGCTCCTTCCTAATGACGAAGGCATCTGTTTTAACACTCCATACTCCTATATGATTTTCTGTTAGCTTGGTGTAGTCGGTGTGCATTTTAAAGTTATGATGTTGTAATAATAATTCTTTTATGTATATATATATCCGTTTCGTAGGGTGGCTTTATCGGTCACTGTTAAGCAATAATATTTTCTGTCCATCTCTTTTTCTACGAAGTCTGTCTCGCCGTTAGGTAACTCAATCTCATCAACATACATACCCGAAATTCTGTTAATCTTTCCTCCGATCTTGTTCTGATAATATAAGGCTTCCTTTAGAGTATCAAAGGCATAACTTTTATGGGCTTTGTTCGTGTTCTTCTCAAGTAGCCCGAAGTTAACATTAGCTATTAACTTTTTTATTCTGATGTCTTCGGCTGGTTTGTCAGAGATGTCTGTCTTCCATAATTCCGCTGTGATCTTCCTATAATCCACCTTGTATGCTCTGGATGGTTGCTTATAATAAAGAATCTTACATTGCTTCACGAAGTGCTTTAAAACCATACCATATACTAAAGTGTAGGCTTTATTGAAAAATAAACTCCGCTTGGTGGGCTTGACCAAGTAGAGAGTTAGATCGTGAAAATCTGTCACGTTACCATTGAAAGGCTTCCAGATATCAAACTGAGTGAATACCGGTATCTCGGCGATCTTGTTAAACGCAGATGTGTAAGCTTTTCTTACATCTATCTCCGTAGTCACTTCTGAGGTATAACAGTATTTGTCGTCTTTGTCTGTCTTAGGGTTATACAAATAATAATGTTTATTTATTTCACCCGTTGGGGGGATGGTGCGACACTCCTTGAAAATCTCTACATCTACTTCGTTGTAATATGACTTGTGGGTCGGCTTGAAGAGGGCAGTGTTAAAATTAAACATTGCTTTAGACATCTTGTTGTAGATCTGCTCCGTTCTCACGCAGATGGAACCATCTATAGAATTATTTACTAAGTTCTGGGTCTTAACCTTGTATTTAATCTCTTTGTGGCTCTTGCTGTTTATCTTGATCTTAAACTTGAAGTTAAGTTCGGACACAAACCCCGCGCTGAACCTAACCTGTGGCTCATACCCTGCCTGTTTGCTAAGATAAAAGAGATGAGATAGATCGTAGCCATTATATACCAATGTGTATTCACTGTGTTCTGTGTATTTACGTATGTCGTCTAGGGATGTGATCATTTTACACTCCACTGGCTCCTCCTTCTCGTTAAGGTGATAATCTGAAGATGCCTTAACAGATATACTATAATTACTGCTTTTGGGTATCATCTGCCTCAACATATTCATATTATCACTGACTGTGTAGATATGACTGTTCTTCACTATAGCGTATAAGGCTGGGATATTATGATTTCTTTTTATTGGGTCGCGCTTATAAATCAGAGTGTCAAAGACATCATAAATTCTGACTTGCAAGTTAAAATGTTCAAACACCTTCGCCATATCTGTTATTGACGCCCCTTTTGTTTTAAAATCTTCTTCCGTCTTATTTATGATCTTTAGGATGGCTTCTTTTGTTAGTTTGTTCTTCTCTCTCTTCTTGTCTCCCATAACGGTATCCTTGTAATAATCGGTCAAGGTGTTAAACCAACACTCGTTCTTAACGTAATGTTCTACTTTAATGGCTTCCTTAAAAGTCTCATACTGTGGATCTAGTGGTGTCTGAATATATCTGTGATACATACTGACATTCTCTGTGTTTGTTAGTTCTTCGTCTTGTGGCTTGAAAGCATCGGGATTATCTACCCTTTCGGCGTAATGAACTTTAATACAAGCAATGTAACCTTCGGCATAACCGACATCTGCTTTAAAACTGTCATCTGTCATTAATAACATCTTGAGCCTATGAAATGTTTTCGTTTCTTTCTTCTCGTCTCTAAATATTCGTCTCCTCGCTAAGTTTTCAACCCATGGTGTTGTGGCTACATTGGCTGATAGATCACGCATATAAATAGGAACGTATGCCCTACCCCTGCTGTCTCTGAAAGATACCGATAAGCCCTGATGTGATTCTGTCTTCAGTTGGTATAAATGAACATTGATTGAATATTTTCTTGGTTTCCTCGGGTTGGTTCTTCCCGTTCGTTTGTTGTCTTCTTTTGCTTGTGCCATTCTCTGGCCTAGTTGTTCTTTATCCTTGTGCTTGTCATAAATCTTGTTGTAGTCTTTTTCCGCTTTAGTTTTTTCTTTGTCTGTTTTTGCGGTGGTGAGCTTCCTGATTAAATTGTCTGCTGTGGTGAATTGGGCGATCTTGCGATCTGAATATAAGTTAATTATATTTTGAACTTTTGTCCTGGTGGCTTGGTTGATGCGGTTTCTTCTGTTGTTATAAAATGTTTGTAGTGCTTCCGTATTACGCTTAATGGCTTTGGACATATACTATTATAATTAAAGTATATATTTATTTTCCCTTTAAATGGATTTTTCTGAAGATTTCTTTTAAAGAAAATGCATCTAAAGAAAAAAATAATATATATAGTATAGTAATATGAGCAAGAAGCCCGAGGATATGACAATAGAAGAAATCAAAGAGCAACTCGCCATATACAACAGGCTGTATTATCACAAGCGCAACAAGGAAGAGGCATACATGCAAAAGAAACGGGAATCTGCACAAAGACACAACCAGAAAAAGAAGATCAAGGAGTATGAACAAGCTAACAATATCACACTGAAGCCCGAGGAGATTAACGATGAATTGCTATCAGAAATATTGAATGCAAAGAAGCCGATGAAGCCCAAGCACGGCTCGGTAAAATACGACATGAAGAACTGCAAGATCATAATGCCGATGTCCGAATGATGATTTAATTTAGTTATTAAATCATTATTTTCTTTTGTTTTTATATGAGTGAGAAACAAAAAAATATTAATGATGTCTATTTTGATCGCGCGGGGTTTGGCTCAAAAAGCCGGACTTTAGAAGAAGCGCGGGAGAAAGACAAAACCATCACAATGTCTGATATTAACGAGTTTTTTAGGAAGAATGTTGATCAAAAGCGAAAGCCCGTCGGTTCAAACAGCTTTGTCGCCCCGCATTCCGCATATGAGTATCAGATGGATTTATTTTTTATTAATGACTTGAAAGATCAAAAATTTAAGGTAGGTATGATAATGATTGATATATTTGATAAGTTTATGCATGTCGTGGCAATTAAAGGTAAGAAGGAAGAAGATTTAGCCAGTGGAATGATTGAGTGCTTAAATAAGATGGGAAAGAAGCCAAAAATAATTTATACCGACGACGAGGGAGCAATGAACAAGGAGGCAATACAAACGTATTTACAGGAACAGAACATAGAACATCACAGGACTAGGGCGCATCCAAATTTTAGCGAGAGAGCTATTAGGACCTTTAAAGATTTATTATATCGTAGAGTTGAAGCCGATCAGAAAAAGGGTAAGAACAATATCCAATGGACCGACTATATTTTTGAAATATTATTAACATACAACAATAAAATGAAACATTCCGCAACTGGCTTCACCCCAAAGGATGCCAGAAAACCGAGCAACGAATTAGAAGTTAAATTGCATTTAAATATGAATGCTAAACGAAATCGGGTCTATCCTGAATTAAGTATTGGTGATGAAGTTAAAATATTTAGGAAGCGGAAACCCAATGAAAAAGAGAGAGTGGGCAATTTTAGCCAAAATGTTTATACCATAGAAAGAATTGATGAAAAGCTGGGCCAAAAATATTATTATGTTGAAGGAAATGATAGAGCGTATTTACGCTTTGAGTTGTTAAAGGTGTAGCTTTTCCTGTGCTTTTGAAGTTGTGGTGGTTTTCACAACTCGAGTTGCAAGTTGTTTTACGACTTGCAACTTGGAGTTGTGAGTGGCCACTTACAAGTTAGAGTTGAGTTCTACGATGTGCCAATTGAAAGCAGTGTGAGTTGTTCCGAACCTTTCAACATAGCTCCCATGTCCGATGTTGCTGTATGTGCACGAGGCTGTTCAAGAGGAGCTTCGCTGAATACGTCTTCCATGCAACAAGTTCCTAAATGCCAGTTTCACGAGTTTTGAGTGTGCATGAGAGGACAAAGATGTAGCCCAGTGTCACACATTTAATTGCACGGTTTTCGTTCCAAGTAGATGCCATGTCTGAACTGCCGTCCAAACGGCAGAAGCTCGAACACCGTTGGATTTTGACGCAGGTCAGTGACTTGAGTGTGCCTGACGATGTCAAGAATGCCGCTGCAAATGCCTACCAAGAGCTTGACGCGGAAGATGTAAGAGGTGCTTCTTTTGAGGACCTAGCTGCCCTTTTGCAAACAGAGGATGCGAAGGCCCGCGCTGCTGTCATTTTGCGTTTGCGGAACAGGCTCCGCCCCACAAGTCAAACAGCAGAACCGGTCCCTGGGCTCCAATACATGTCTTTTGCCTTTCCTGATTTTTGCAGTCGTTTCCCCAATAGCCTTAGTTGATTACCTTACTTATTGGGTTTAGGGGTTGGCCCTTTGGTTGTAGCGTAGTGGTTTATTCCCCCTAGGTGTGGTTTCCTCGTAGGGTTTCCCGATTGGGTTAGTTGATTGGGTTGCTTAGTTGGGTTTAGGGTTTTTCATTTGTTGTGGGCGAGGCTGGTTCAGCGACGGCGTTGCCGACACCCTCTTCCGAACGCAAGTTCGATATTCCCACGGTCGCGGATGAAGACTTCAAGGAAGGCAAGCTGTTGAACGTTTCAGGCTTCACCCCTTTGTGCCTTGGGCGAGTGTTCTCATTATATTGGTTTGGATGCGTTTTTTTAGTTTAGATTTTTCGGTTGTTCTGTTTAGGGTTGGTTGTCGTGCTGTTGTAAGGCTGGCGAAGAACACGGAGGCAGACAAACCGATATTCCTTCGGGAGCACCTTCTTCAAGTGCACGATGTATCAGTGGCTACGTTGAAAGACAATGGGGACAAAATGTTGGTTTCGCTTGTCGGTTGTCCTGGAACAGGCAAGACGTGGTGCGGATGGCTGGTGGCGAACACCCTCCAGTGCAAGCACAATGTGCAAACACTGCACCTGACCATCAGAGGCACTGATGTCATTGCCATTTGGGCAGACGACGGGCAATACCGGAAGAGGACCTACAAGAAGGTTGATGTTTCGACGTCCATGTTGTTGGAACAGGTCCTCGCTGACAGCAAGTGCAAAGTCTGCATCATTGACGTGGGCGACCTCTTCTCCCACGAAGTTAAGACGATTTTCCGCGGAGCGCATCGCATCCTCGAGGACGACTCCAACGTCATCAAGTTCATGGGCTTGGTTTCTGGGCATGGCGAGGAGGACATCGTTGGCAATCAGTTCAATATCCAACAGAAAGCTCACACTCTAGTTCTCTGGAGTTGGTCCGAGAAGGAGTTTGAAGCCTTCCACGACAAGTTCAACTCCTCCAAAGAGAATAAGACGGGGCATGAGCTGGACAAGAATATATACAGAATTTGTGGTGGTTCTGTTCGCGGCTGCTTTCAGCCGGATGGTGCCCAGGCAGAGATTTTCAGAACTGTTAAAATGTTGAGTCAAGATGAGAAGGACAACTTTCTCATTGTCAACACCCGTCCTACCAGTAGTGCTGAACACAAGCAGCGCTCTCACTTACTTGCCTTCTTCCCAGCGAAAGAGGACTCCGATTTCAAACATGGCGTGGCTCATGCGAATCAAGTCCCAAGGTCCGACTACGTCATTCAATGCATCAGAGCAGACACCCAAAGCAGTCCCAAGCGTGTGAAGGAGATGTATGCCATGCTGTCCGATTACAATCCCGGTGCTGCGGGAACTGCTTTTGAGATGCTGGTTCACTTCTTTTGGAAGCATGTCGTTGAGACCGAGCTCGACGTGAAACTTACGCTGGATTGGAGGCACGATGACAAGCCAACACAGAGCATCGAAGTCAAGGGTGGCGAGTTGCAAGGCTACAATTCGCAAGCAATCGAAGAATACGATAACGAAAAGAAGATTGCGGCCGGTGGCTTGACAGGGTATTTTACTCCGAAGGACTTCAAGTATCCGGTGTTGGACAGTCTCCTCCGATACAAGCATGGTGACGCAGTCATGGTTCTCGCAATCCAGATCAGTATCGCCAAGACGCATCAACATGGAGAGCTAGTTCAAAACACGTTGCTGAAAGAGGAAGCCGAGGGGGAACCCAAGCCAAAGCTGGCGCTCTGGGATTTCAAAGCAAAGGGCAAACAGTGCAAATGGACACCGACCACCTCGGACCATTGGGATTTGATGTATGTGGAAAGCGAGGCGTTTACACAATGGTTTGACCAAATCTGATGAGAAGCAGATGTTACAAAACAGCTTGTATCCTACATGTTTCACCGCAGGATGCGCAGGACATCCACGAGCAAAAGGCAACGCGGGTTGCTGACCGAGGTGCTGCTGAGCATGTGTTTCCACGCCTGCAATCACCCTCAACCCTAAACCCTGAACCAAATTCTACGAGAACCCCCTTGCCTATTTAGACCAATAATGCCACCTTAGAGATAATAGATGGGGTAATGGTTATTCCTAGAATTGTATTGATAATGGGGTAGTAGTAGTGATTTATCGGTGAAGTGTAGGGGGGAGTATAGGAATGATCATCTAATGGGGGAAGTAGTAGTGATATATCGGTGAAATGTAGGGGGGAGTATAGGGATAATCATCTAATGGGTTGGCGGTGGCATTATTAGCCAAAATAGGCAAGGTATACTCTAACTGTGAAGTGGCCTAGCCTGTTTAGGGTTCAACTAGGGAGGGGGGGAGGGAGTCTTGAGCCTCTGTGGGTACGCCTCGTTATCGTTTAAGGGTTGAGACACCCGTAGTGCAGGGTCGAGTCTAGCGCTTAGGAAACTCAGAGTAAGTGTTAGTGTTTGACCTATCCTGCGGGAAGCTGGCACAAACAAGTGGTCGTATGTTTATTTTAGAGAAAGAACGAAAGCATAGACGCACTCATGCTCATGCACGAATTCGAACGGATAAATTTGAACGTGCAATGGTCCGACCCCAACAACTCAGGGTTTTCAGTACCCCTTGCCAAGGAAACATCAACCCTAATCACCCTAATCCTCTTGCCAGACGGCCCATGACCCACGGTTGCTTTAGGTTTCTGCTCCACCACGCCTTCGCGCGCGAGATGGAGCCTGTCCGGACCTTGGCTGCGTGGTCGTTCTGTGCTGGAGCGCTGCGTGATAAAGATGAATGTGGGATCATAGTCGGTTGTTCATGGGGGTGGGACAGGGACATCATCGAGAACGTTTGCGCAGAACGCCCGGCTAGGTGCTCTTCCACGGGAAGTGTTTAAAACTACTGGAGCTTGCCCGAAATCGCATTCAAGTGTAGCCATGTGTAGTGTCCTCATCGTGCCTCCTACTTGGTCGCCCAGTGGTACCCTTTGCCCTTTCTGGGTTTGAGGTTCCCTACAAAAGCAAGAGCAACACCAACAAGGGTGCACTATGAATTAGTATGGACACCGAGCTACCTTGAGCTTAAGTTTTACTAACACCAGCCCCGAGGACTCTAAGGAAGTAGTTATGAAGTCCAGTCGGATGGGGTCTTCACTTGGGTTTCGCATTCAGGCGACCGCCCTCCACTTTAGCTCGGCAGAGCGTCTGGTGACGCTCGCCCGCGAGAAAGGGCTCCTGTTGCGTTTTCTTCTTGCGGGAAGCAGTCAGATTTGTAGCGCAGAGCATTGACATGCCACCACCTTTGAGCTTTAGGTGCTAGCGGGGCATACTCGTAGCAAAGGCAACCAGAACTAACATCTATGCAGTGGCTTCCTGGGTAGCCTCAAAAGACTTAAAAATACTTCCAATATCCCCAAGTGGGCACAAATTGCAGCGCTCCCTGACCAGGATCCCCAGGTATGCTTCAGATGTGCTTTGCCATTAGGAGCGACATATTGCCATGCCACGCAATTTCAACTTGCAGTCAAGAAGCACTGGGCTACTTACTCCCTCATTGCACGTTCAGGAACGAGAAGCTGATGGAGGTGAATGAGGCGCCGACGGGTTGGATGTTCTTTCGACAGAAGATGCAGACTTCTCCCCCGCGGTTCAATCAGAAGAATCAGAACCCCTACCCATGACATTCTGCAGCCGGCGAGGGCTGCATCACGCCGTGTGGCACCAGCTTCGATCAGACTCGGTGGTGCGGCTGCGGCCAACGTTCGCCAAACAAGGCGAGCGGCTGGGTCAAGAATGGTCTGGGCCAAATTGGGGGGTCACCCAGTTGCCCGGGCAGCTGTTTCGCCATGGGGGTTCCCCTCCCTGCAAAGGGTTCATGCAACCTCGTTTCCCTCTCAGCTACGCGGTAACCCCGCGAGCCTGCTTGTAACTCCTTGCGACAGTAATCTGGCGCAAAGGAAAACTAGGAGATGCTAGAGCATTGACTCAAGCACAGATGTAAGCCAAGTATATCGAAATATCATGTTATCGCAGCTTGTACGTTCTAGTGTAGTGGCCCAACGCGGGACCGAGCTAGTTGTCGTTGCTTTAGTTCGGGATGTGGATCGAATCGTTTGACAAGATGACTTGCCACTGGGTTCAAACCTTTCACACGTTCGCTTCCTGGAGACTTATTCAAGCCCAGGCGCTCAATTGAACCTCACCGTGCCCCAGCCCGTTTGCTTTGTTTGGGCGGGGGGATTTACCATGATAGTGCAGTAGTTCCTAAACGTTGACTGAGTGAGAGGGTGGGCAGGGTGCTATTAACATGGAGCTGTGTATTGTATCTGTTATTCTCATGAAGGCATGTCTATCCAGCTGTGTACCACGCCGAACAAACCCTGACACCCAACTCAAGCGTTTCGCCAGTTCCCTGCAGAGTGTCCGAGAGGTCAGCTAAGCGGGTGGCAAAAAAAAACTCTAGCGTTTCACTGTGTCAACTAGAACTTGGGTTATTGTACAACCTGACCTTTTCCCCGTAAACGCATGCGAAACGGGTGGGCAACAACATCGACTGATTCGACATTGCACTAGCAACAGAAGTACAAGTATTAGTAGTTGTAGCAGTAGTAGTCGTCGTAGTAGTAGTGGTAGAGGGTCCAAAAGCTGGAAACCACCATGACAGGATGGGACCCTCTATGACATGGCAATCCGCCGAGCCTCGGGGTATTTTCTGCAGCAGGGAAGCTGAGTCGCCTGGCGTGCCCTGGTGAACTTCTTGAGCCTTTGTACTGGTTGTTCTATGCGCTGCAGCTGTAAAATGAAAAGCTATAGACGAACACATTGCATGCTTAGTTGATGTTTCTATACATACATGTATGTATCTCTGTCTGGCTCGCTCGCTCGCTGGCGCTCTCTCTCTCTCTCTCTCTCGCTCGCTCTCTGTCAATAAATCCCAACGTATATATATATATATATATATATATATTATAGATATATATATATATATATGTATGTATGTATGTATAGTGTAGATATACACATACAAACACACTTGCCTACTGGAATCACATGTTTGCGTGTGTTTTGTGTGTTTTCGCCTGCACGCGTAGATGTGTGTCTACAATATAGAAGTGATCAGAAACCTCACTCATGCATCCATGAGGCTGGCCTGCGTTCTTGCAGCAGACACTGCTCTGGCGAGTGCTTGTTCCAGAGCATGCGCGGTGTGTCGAGTACTGCATCTCTGCTGCGTCGGATAATTTTCCGGTGTTGCCGATTCAACGAGTTGCCAGGCTTTAGCTCAGCTATTCTCCTGGCCCGGTCTCCGAACCCCCAAAAAATGCTGAAGAGAATCCTGCAAGGTATCACTTGAATCGCGCCCCAAGGTGGCAGTTCTAGGCTTTAGCTGCATGACCGGGTGACTTGTGTGAACTTTGTCATGTGGACTCCACATTGCCCGAGGCCAGGGAGGACGTGCTGGCCGAGGATGCATGGGAAGCTCCATGGCCTTGACAAGGGAAAGTCCCCGGACTGGGTACATCACTGAGCTTGTCCGCACAATGCTACCGATGCCACCCCGCGGACACCACCAATGTCACAGCAGGTTCGATTCGGTTAGATGTCCTACTGCACGATCCCACTTCCGACTCTTCCGACGGGGACGACCTTGAGCTGGGAATTCCGACACGTGATGCTCGGAGACTCTTGGTGAGGATGTAGCTGGCCGGGAGCCGGTAGTTGCCCGCCCCACAGGATGGCAGTGATGGCAGGAGCTTTGCGCAAGATCATGGCAAGATGAAGTGTGTCGGACGCCTGGGACAGCCCAAGCCGATTGGGCGCGAGAACCGCAGCCTTCCCCCGCTCGATTTTATGAAACAAGCTTGAGAGCATGGAGATATTATGGCAATGCGACAAAAGAGATGAGCGCAGTTGCGCTAAACCCGTAGCCCAGGTTGCATTGAACAGGGACTCTTCCTGTGATTGGGTGCGGAACCTTTAGGGCTCTCAGGGAGGAAAGATGAACACCCAAACCCTTGCAGGAGACTTCTGAGTCCGGAGTATGACCGCCAGAAAGTTCACTGTTGCGTGCGGTTTGGCTCAAAAGTCCATCCCGCGTTGGGGTCGATGAATGCTGCGAAGTAGCAGCGCTTCGGCCCTTCGGCGGAGCATTGCCTGGGAGTAGGGTAGAGTCTAGGTCACTGAGTCTGAGTGGCTTGAAACATTCGGCTACGGTCCAAACTTCAAAGTCTGGATAAAATATTTGCATTGTTACGATGCGGTTCATGTAGGCATCACCAAGCTCGCGAGCGGCCGTTCGGTGTGCCCACAAAGACCTTCACATCACATGTTGTTCTTTAATTGCATTGAAGCTCAGTGGTGAAACAGGCGCCGTCGCCAAGGCTAGGAATTGCATACAGTCATGACATTGTTCTAAACTGCACTGCCCTCAGAACAACTGTAATTGATGCCAAGGCCTTATGCGAAGGCATGCCGACATCTATGTGGTCGGTATCTCCCAGGCCAGGTGAAAGAAGATCATTTGAGATGTGCTCGGAGACGTACTGCACACTTCTGCAACACATCGGACACGCCATCCCGGGACTGAGTCAGAATATTCGAGTTGCGGCAGAGCCCCTCTCTACCATGTAGAGTGCTGTTTGTCTCCAGGGCGGCGACGAGGCCGATCGCCTCCTAGCGAGGCGCCGACCGGATGTTATTGCTAGGGCCTGGAAGCTTGCTTCACACACAGCCCTGCCTCTTGGAAACTTGTGTGGTTCGAAACAGAATTCTTCAGGTCGGTATTGTTTCACTTCATCTATAATTTATAGAACCCTATTTCTTGATGCCTGCCCACTACATCAAATCATTCAGGACAAGGATGTAGGTTTTGCAGGCTTTTTCCCCAGT